TTGTAACATTATTTATAAATTTAAATAAAACATGAATAAGAAAAAATTAAACCAGAATCATAAATCACATTAAAAAGAAAAAAAATCTGCCGACAGTTTGAATCGATCCTTAGATAGCAAAACAAAACGAGCAGTGGCATAAACCTTAACCATCTTAGCTATCGAAACTCCGTAAAAGATAAATCTTGAAGTCGCATTGATGACCTCCAGAGCTTGTCCTACAATTCATAAAAATGATGATGAGGAAAAATAATAAATTAGTGGTTGTAGCTCAACTGACATCCTTAAAAAAGCGGTTCTTGGTGCTCGGCTCACTTGGCTTGGGAGTAGGGTGACGGCGCCAAATCTTTTTTTATGGCCGTTTTACGAAAGGACCTTTTTTAGTTTTCTTAGCGGTTCGCAAAAAGTTTACAACCGATTTTGCTGAAATTCGGTGCATATGTTAAAGACTATGATTACTAACTTTGGGTATAAGCTTGAGCTCTAAATATTAATTAGACAGCGAGTTATTGAAATTCAAAAATGCGCCAAAAATGACAGTATTTCGTAATTTTTTAGCTAAAATGGCTTAACTGATTGGAGCTTAATGTGGCTTTTCATTTTTTGTCTTAGAATTGCGGAACTTTTTTCTATTTTACTTTTTTTTGTACGATTCTTATTTTTTTCTCTAGGAGCAAAACACCTGTTTTGGCCACTTTTTTTTGGAGGGGGGGGGGGCTTTGCTGAACTTTTTAGGTGTTGGTAAGTAGTACAATTTGTTATAAACACAAAAAACTAGGGATAGTAATTTTTTCATGCTACTATTTACTTCCCAAAATTTCAGTGGATTTAAAGCTAATTTTATAATATTAAAAAGGATCCTATATACAAACCAAATTCGATGCTGTATCTCCTAGTCAAAAATTGTTAGTGACTGTCGATTGGTTTTAATTAGTTTTAACTTGTCTTTGAGTTAAAGTATCTTACAGTAAAACTCCCATCCACTTTTTGATTTCCAACGGATTTTATTCTTGAGACTGTGACATTTCGTTTTATCTTCTAATTTTTTATTTAATCTTTGTGTTAAGCCTTCAACTTACTGTACACATTTATTTAAAAAAAAAAGAAAAAAAAAGCTTGATACAGTTCATTTTATCACTTACTCCATGAAGTCTTGTAGAACAAGAAAGTTTTTTCTCTCATTAGAACTTTTTGTCAAAGAGTTATACTAAGAACAGGTGCAGTTCAAAGATATATTGAATTTTTTCAGATACCACGAGGACAAAAGTACACAAAGGAATTTGTAATTGGTAATTTGAACAGTTGCATAGCACCATTCACCTTTACACCTATAATGGTAAGTTCTAGTTGTATTTTTTTAATTCATGATGTTTCAAAAAGCTTTACCAAGTCTTTTTTTTTTTTTTAGTATAAAATTGATGGAATTGATGCCAGTTTTTTTGTTGATGATCAAAAAGCTGCATTAAAAATAGCTGACTGCAGCAATAGAATCACAACTAATGATGGTTTCAAAATGTATTTCAAAGTCAAACAAACAGGAAGCCCACCTTTAGAAATTAATGATGCTCTCAAAGATAGGTTAAAACAAGCCATGAACAAAAGATATGTACAAGAAACAAACGCTTTGAACTTGTCTAAGTTCTATCATGATCCTGGTATATTTAATCATTTTCTTTTTCAAGATCAAAAATTTTTCTGGTAACACAATTAAAGAATTTCAGCGTATACACAAATCGTATTTAACTTATTTAAGATTCCAAGGATAACATGCATATTTAAAAAAGTCGAGATTACGCAGCAGTTAAGGCTGCACATACATGAATGATTAGATAAATTTATAAATCCATCTTTAGAGATTAGTTTTTAAATATAATTTCTTTGATAAAGTATCATTTATTGATAGTTTTCACAAACTTATGCTTAATATTTTATAAGGGTGTNAAGTCAGTGGGTGCCTGAGTATCCAATTATAAAGTTATACTTCTATAACAGATAATATATAAATGTAGTAAACCTTTTCTGATATGATATTTTTAATAACCTACAGCAATGTATGCATCAAAGGTGGTGTAATTATTTCTAGAATTAGTATGTTCGGTAATTGAGTACGATTTCTATAATTACTTAAGTATTAAATAAATAAACAGTTATATAATGTAGGTAAGACAAGTCCAGAGTATAGCCATGGTATGATGTGCCCCCAGGATGCAGCCTGTGTGAGACTGCCAGCTTTTATTGCATCTTCCAATGATTTCAAAACAATATCCTACACTAATAAAATCTCTAACGTTGTACATACACTTGTCACACATGCTCACACACTCATTGTTAGTTGCGTCTAGAACAATCATAATTTTATATCTAAAAGAAAACTGAGTAAAAACATCATGTAGTAATGCATTATCTTGAATCGGGTAGTATTACATTCCCACAAATGTAGCTGAACTCAAAAAATCATCTTATTTACGAATGGAAACATTTTGAAAGTATAAAGCAAAATAAGAGTTAAATAACTTATTCATAGAACCTCATATGAATAAACCAAAAACAAATATTAAATAGTATAATAGAATTAGCTTTTTAGATCGGGAAATTAATAGTAGCATGAAAATGTTCTTATCCCTAGTTTTTTGTGTTTATAACAAATTGTACTATTTACAAACATCTCAACAATTGGGCAAAGGACCCCCCCCCCCCCAAAAAAAAAAGGTCAAAGTGGCCAAAACAGGTTTTTTGCTTTTAGAGAAAAAAATAAGAATCGTACAAAAAAAAAGTAAAATACAAAAAAGTTCCGTAATTCTAAGACAAAAAATAAAAGCCACATTAGGCTCCAATCGGTTAAGCCATTTTAGCTAAAAAATTACGAAATACTGTCATCTCTGGCTACTTTTTGTAATTCAATAACTCGCTTCCTAATCAATATTTAGAGCTCAAGTTTATACACAAAGTGAGTAATCATAGTCCTTAACATATGCACCGAATTTCAGCAAAATCGGTTGTAAACTTTTTGCGAACCGCTAAGAAAACTAAAAAAGGTCCTTTCGCAAAACGGCCATAAAAAAAGATTTGGCGCCGTCACCCTACTCCCAAGCCAAGTGAGCCGAGCACCAAGAACCGCTTTTTTAAGGATGTCAGTTCAGCTACAACCACTAATTTATTATTTTTCCTCATCATCATTTTTATGAACTGTAGGACAAGCTCTGGAGGTCATCAATGCGACTTCAAGATTTATCTTTTACGGAGTTTCGATAGCTAAGATGGTTAAGGTTTATGCCACTGCTCGTTTTGTTTTGCTATCTAAGGATTGATTCAAACTGTCGGCAGATTTTTTTTCTTTTTAATGTGATTTATGATTCTGGTTTAATTTTTTCTTATTCATGTTGTATTTAAATTTATAAATAATGTTACAAACACTTTTTTCCTATACGTCGAAATAAATATATTTTTAATACTAAT